ACCTGTTAGTTTATATGCTATTCCTTTCAAGGTAGCCTGTGTGTGCTCTCAATTTATTTGTTTTCTGGAGTATGATTATTTTAAATTTAATCCTGGTTGGGCTTATTGGATTTGTTAGGGTTTGGTTATTTTTTCTTTTTTTTTTTTTATTATTATTATACTTTAAGTTCTAGGGTCCAGTGCATAACGTGCAGGTTGTTACTATGTATACTTGTGCCATGTTAGGTGTGCTGCACCGCCCATCAACTCGGCAGCACCCGTCAACCCGTGTCATTTTACATCAAGGTATAACTCCCAATGCAATCCCTCCCCCCTCCCCCGTCCCAAATGATTCGGCCCGGTGTATGATGTCTGTTGTTTGGTATTTTTATGATATTCTCTGTAGGTATTTGGAACCGTGTCTGCTTCGAATCTAGTCTTCTGGTCTGCTCATTGAATCCCATTGAATGCAATCTCTATTTCTCTCTCCTCTATATTCCATGGAGATTGTAGGCTACCATTTAGGCCCTTTCTTCTCCCTCCACTACGGTATTCCAAGTTGTATTGTTTCAACTGTGTTGCACTCCGGATAATTTTACTTCTGACCTTTCTTTCAATTCATTTTTTTTCCTTTTGGATGCAGGTTGCCGAAGCGCAAGTCGGCGCAATCTCCGCTCACTGCAACCACACCCTCCTGAGTTCAAGCAGTTTGCTCCTACTGCCCGCCTCCTGAGTAGGCTGGGTACAGGGTGTGTGCCCACCACCCTGGCTGATTTTCTGTATTTTTGTAGAGATGGGGTTTTGCCGCATGTTTGCCAGGCTGGTTTAAACAGTTTGGGGAGTCAAGTGAATCTGCTGCCTCAGCCTCCCAGAAGTGCTGGGATTACAGGCGTAAGCAATCCCACCTGGCCTTTAATGGTTTTTCATATCTGCGAATACATTGACCTGTTGAGTTTTCAATTTCAGTAATTGTATTTTTTCATTTTTAGAAGTTCTATTTTTAAAAAATCTTCTAGTTTAGTCTTTATATTTTTTTTTGTTTCCTGTAGATATTTTTGGAATTGTCTTTTATTTCTTTAAGATTATAATAGTTCTACAATCTTTGATAGTTATACTATCAAAAATTGTGAGTCTGTTTCTGTTATCTGGTATTTCTGCTGGTTCTCCCTCATAGTTGCTTGGTTATTTTTGACTTGATACTGCTCATTGTTCTAGAAACATCATAGTGGGGATTCTTTGGTATTTAGGATGAAGGCACCCTTCTCTAGGCAGGACTTGGATTTACTTATGTTAGGTGCTTGCGACTGTATTAACCGGGAGTCTCTTGAGTGCATGTTTTGAGATTCTCTGGGCCACTTAGGTCATGTCAACCCCAACAAGTGTGCAGGCACATGGCCAAAACTAATTACCTATTCCTTCCCTGTATTCGTGTTGCCCTTCTCTGTTTGGCACCAAAGCAGCCTTCTCAGCGGTTCCCTCTAGGCGGGTGGGGCTGGGGAAGGAGGCGTTCATTTCTAGTTTACCTTCTCCTTTGCAGGTATATCTTCTTTGGGTAGGGTGGTGGCCTACATTAATGTCAGGAGAGTTTCCTCTTTGACTGTCTGCCTTAATAGGTGCAGATACACTTCTGTTCCCCTGGCCCTATAAGACCATCAAAACTGAATCCCACATTTGTCAGAATTGACAGATGCTTTCAGAGTGTAAGTAGCTATGATGTCCCAGTTGTTCCCACTTACTTCCCTGGATTCCTGTTTTCTCTTAGGTTTTAGTTTGAGTACTTTGTGGTGCTTTTAAAAAGTATTTATTTTTTATTCTTTTTCTCTAGCTTACTATTATTATTTTTAGTTGGAGGGTTAGGGCAAATAACAAAGCTTGTCACTGAGGAAATGAAAGTAAAAATAAGTTTTGTTTTCTAAAAATAATTTTGGGAAATGTTCAATAGAGTGATTTTCATTAAATGATAAATTACTGAAAATTAGGAGGTAGTTATAAATTTTGGGTGGTGGGGAAGGTTACCATTTATGTTTGTTAAGAATGTTTGTATCTATTTTTTGGTTTGCATCTAATAGTTTTCTTGTTTTAGGGGTAGAAATATTTCTGTCATGGCTCATTCAAAGACTAGGACCAATGATGGAAAAATTACATACCCGCCTGGGGTCAAGGAAATCTCAGATAAAATATCTAAAGAGGAGATGGTGAGACGATTAAAGGTAAGTAAAATTATGTTCTTTTGGACATCTGTGTAGGGTAGAGGTCCCTTGTGGAAATCACATGGGGCTATAATAGATCTTGTTAGGGTAACTTGAAAAAGCAAAGCAAAGCAGCAAATGGCGTAGAAAAGATCTAAGGGAATAGAGTATATAAGGAACAGTGGGGATTTGGCTGTGATTAATGGGACAGCAGTTAGAAAGGTGAAGCTTAAATTTTCTAGGATCTTCTATATTTGGGTATAAAGAACAAGTCTACAATACTCATATTCCTTATTGTCTATACAAAGTTGTCTCCTTTCTCCTATATGGTTTCTAAAGACAACCACTTTAACGGAGTTTTAAATCTTTATACTGAGTAATTAGGCTGTGTACTACTTATAAGTTATTTTCAAAGTAGGTCAAAGGGCTTCACTTTTAGCTTCTTCCTTTGCTTCTGACATATAGTAATGAATCAAGATTGTTGATGAATTTCTGTGGATGAGGCTAGGGCCTCTTCATATGTATTTGAATAATATTTTCACCTTTTCCTTTAGGGTGGCGGTAATCTCTGTAATTGTTAAAATGGATAAAGGAGCATAGTGTCCAAGGAGAATGTTAAGTTGGTCTATCAGTTAGTTTAGATGGTCTTTATTTTTGAGCATTTCCGATCGAGGTTGTGTCTACCTAGATATTTATATTCCTTGATATATTGTTATTTACCTGGATGTCAGAGTTGAAAAATGTTCCTAAATTAATCATTGAAGATCCAGGGCCTTAAAAACAAATACTCTTCTTTATTGCTACATGGTGTATAGCAATTTTTATAAGGAGAAAAAGATGCTAATGCTGTCATAAATTTCACATAAAGTCTTAAATATTGTGCATATATATTTATACCTAAAGTATTAGATTGTCAGACATCAGATGTTTATTCAAAGGAAAATCATCTTTGAGCAGATTAAATTTACTAATAGGTGGATATTTTATCTAGTTGGGAACCGGTGTATATTTTATTAAGAATAGTCAAGCTATAAATCCCTTCTATATATGACATGCTTTATTTTCTATATATTTACCTTCTCTTGACCTATTGCATTTTTTGAGAAACTAATACATTTATTACCTTATATTTGTTTATACTAAGAATAAATGAGCATTCCTGTTGTTTGTTGAAAAACTAATCTTGAACTCAGAGCCTGTACTTAAACTGATTAGCATTAGTGTCTTTTAGAGATGTTATTTTCTGAGATTTCTTTTCTAATTTGGAGGACTCATGAGTTATTAATGAGTTATATAACAGTATTTGAGTTGTAGACAGTAGAGAGGAATTCCCATTTTCTGGACCTTGAACAAAACTTTGTGGTTATTGTTGTTGGAATGATTGCCTGAGTACTCATATTTAGTGTTTGTAATATGCTTTCATTATTTTGTAGACATTTATGTCTGGCAGCAATCCACTTTTCTCATTTATTTTCCTAATTTATACTTCCTATTTTTAGCATCCTCCTTCTTAGAAAAATATAAAAAAATTATGTGGGATGATATGTACAAATACCCAAGTAAGTTTTATACATTAAAACAATTTGTTAACATGTAAGGTGACACTGTTTATAAAATTTATTTTTTTCCTGTAACATTTTATTCAAAATATGTTTAATCTCTTATCTTTTGTTAAGAGATCTACAGAAATAAACAGTTCCATGCACACAGTTCTTTTTTACCTTTTGTGGTTTTTCCTAAACACGTAGGTAATCAAAGCATAAATCTTAAAAGTGATAAAATAAAAAAATTAAAAGACCTGGACATCATACCCTTAATCTAAATGTAGTACAAGGTTGGAAGCATTAGTCTACTGTTGGTTTTTGTAGAGATGGGGTTGGTTCTGGTATCTGGCATAATAGAACTGAGAGTTTGCTCTGTGAGGAACAGTGTTTTCCACAGCTGCTCTGAGAATTCAGTAGAAATTGAGCCATTTATTATTCAGAAGTCTAGCTGGATGGCAAGTGGAAATCCTTGCTGCATAAAGGACCAAGACATTTAGCATTGATACCTTGTGGCCAGCCACACTCGTTGCCTAGTATTTGCAGCACCACCTAGTGGATGCTGGATGCTCACCTTTCCGTTGGAGTTATATTTAAATGTCAGTTCCTATCAAGTTAGGCAATTTTGTTTCATCTGAAGTAGGAATAGTGCAGACTGAGATCATCATTGTAATTACTAATTTTGAAATCAGAGAAAGCTCTTCTCAGAATTCATGGTGTACCATTCTATTTTCTATTCACCTTTTATAGAAGTATTTTTGAAAAAAGAACCATTTCTTTTAGCTTCCTTTGGCTTAACTCACATGTGCCACTGAATTAATGAATTATCCATATCATATTCTCTTTTACTGCTGCACAAGAAATATTTTGTTGGATGCTGTGGTAGATACTTCATAGTAACTTTTCAGTGTTTAGGGATGCATCTTTGACATCCTTTCTTAAATAAAACCATGTGACAGGAGTGGTTTAATGGCTTAAATGGAAAATTAAATTATCATCTTAGGGTTTTCTTTAGGCATATACTTTTTCTTCTCATGAAAGGATTAGAAATATTATTTTTAAAAAACATGGTATTCTTAAGGACTTATCCTTTTAGTCCAGTTGTACAAGTGAGACCAGAAGTTTCCACAAATATTCTGTTGGAATTCTTCCAATGATGACTACTACATAAGGGCAATTTAAACTTTAAAAATCTGGTTAGCAGATATTTTGGGTAAATGAAAAAATATTTTAGTAAATATTTTAAAGTTTACTTTGTAGTTTTAGGAGGATTGTGTTCTCTCAAGTAGAGACTTTCTGCAGAAAAATGAAAGTATATTCATTTGAAGTTAACCTTAGCAATTAATATGACCTTTATTTCACATGGCTGTAGTTTTACATGGAGCATTTCATTATTTGATTTTTTTATTTTTGTATAGATGGTTGTGAAAACTTTTATGGATATGGACCAGGACTCTGAAGAAGAAAAGGAGCTTTATTTAAACCTAGCTTTACATCTTGCTTCAGATTTTTTTCTCAAGCATCCTGATAAAGATGTTCGCTTACTGGTGGCCTGCTGCCTTGCTGATATTTTCAGGATTTATGCTCCTGAAGCTCCTTACACATCCCCTGATAAACTAAAGGCAAGTACTGATTTAAATAACTCCAAGATTGACTGATACTTTGATTTATCTTTCTAGCTAAAATAGGAGTTAAGGTATTTAGATGATTTCCTTGGATACTTTGACATTAGCTACAGTAATCTTTTGCTAAACTTACGGTTTTTTTAGAACATATTTTTGAAAAACTCTCTGGTCTTGAGGTTAAGAAGTAGATTAAAACAGTGTATACTTATTTTATACTATGTTATCATTAGCTCTGTTTCTTTCATTATAATTTTGGAGGCAATTCCTTTTTACTTTCGAAAATCCATATTGAAGACCATGGCCATTATTTAAAAGACAATACCTAGTATAAACATGAGTTTGTAATATATAATCCTAATTTATTTAATGGAAGGTGTGACATAAATTGTTATGAAGAAAATGCAGGCCAGGCGCAGTGACTCAGGCCTGTAATCCCAGTACTTTGGGAGGCTGAGGCAGGAAGATTACTTGAGTTCATGGGTTTGAGACCAGCTTGGGCAACATAGCAAGGCCTTGCCTCTACTTAAAAAACAAACAAACAAACAAAAAGCCTTGTGTGGTGCTGTACACTTGTAATCCCCTAACTACCTGGAGGCTGAGGTGGGAGGAGTGCTTGAGCCCCCAGGGGGCGGAGATTGCAGTGAGCCTAAACAGCACCACTGCATTCCAGCCTGAGCTGAGTGAGACCCTGTCTCTATTTGAAAAAAAAAAAAAAAAAAAAAAAAAATCAGTGAACAAAGTTTTAATGGAAAGATACAAAAGGCATGTATTTCTTGGTTACAGTAGTTGTAAGTAAAACTGTGTAAGTGCAAATCTTTAAAAGATGAGAAGGGGAATAGCACGAGTAATCTTTTTAGGAAAATGCTGGTAGAAAACATGAAGTAATTGGAATCGTGCAAAAGATACTGAATGTTTATAAGTCAGGTCAGGTAGGAATTAAAAACAGCAACAATAAAAGATAATTGTGGAGGCCGGGTGTGGTGGCTCACACCTGTAATCCCAGTACTTTGGGAAGCTGAAGTAGGCGGATCACCTGAGGTCAGGAGTTGGAAACCAGCCTGACCAACATGGTGAAACCTCGTCTCTACTCACAATACAAAGATTAGCCAGGTGTGGTGGCACATGCATGTAACCCCAGCTGCTGTGGAGGCTGAGACAGGAGAATCACTTGAACCTGGGAGGTGGAGGATGCAGTGAGCCGAGATTGTGCCACTGCACTCCAGTCTGGCTGACACAGCGAGACTCTCAGGAAAAAAAAAAAAAAAATTGTGGAAACTATGGATTAGAAAATGAGTCCATAGAAAGATTATTAATCCACAGTGTGAAAAAATGGCAGACAATTTATGTGTATTTCACTTAATAAGTCTTGCTTTTAGTTATGTGTCAGGAGCTGGATTTACAGTGGTGAAAAAAACCCAGGCATGGTTCTTAGACTCATGGAGTTCTTGATAATTGAAGTGAGGAATGTGCTTATTTGATCAAGTCTACCAAAATTCAGGTAGAGAATGTGCAGCCTGTTTTGGGCATGCTTGTTTTAAATTTTGATTGGTAAAAGAATCTTAGGATGAGGGAGGTAGAGGGCAATATTTGTCATTTAAAGGTGGAATTGAATTGTAAGATTGGCTGGTCCATGTAATTGTATACCCAGGTACTAGCTTGATTTCTAAATGTGAATTTCTCATATGGAGATGCTTAATCGGTTTAAGGAATGATTCCATTTGTTTGATGGTGGCTGTGGCTTTCCCGTACTAGATGTCTTGTTGGCATTCTCATGAGGAGGAAGTCTAACTTGCCTCTCTTGGGGATCTTTCAGTTTGCATAATCAAGGACACATTTCAGGGCTTTGGGGGTAACGAAAAGTTCTCCCTAAAGAATAGCTACATATCTGTTCTGTTTGTAACGGGACAATTTATGAAAAGACTGTAGAAGAGCTGAAATTAGGGTCTTTTTGCATTATTCCCTAGCTGAAAAATTGTAAGTATTTGGTTTTTCTTATGAATTTTTGAGTCTTATTCTAAATGCTTCTTTTTTCTTTTTGGAGGACAGTACTTAAAAATTATTGACTTTGAGGGTGCTTTCTAAATATTTAGGAGATTTCACTTCGTTTTGATCAGCGTCAGGTTCATATATATGTGTATGTATTTTGTCTATAGTAGTGTTGTATGCATATTAGAAAATTGTGATATTTGAGCCTTACTTTTCCACTTTCAGTTTGTTGTTGTCATCAGCAAACCCCTTTTATACAGTTGGCTTCATGTTTAGGCAGTAATTGGTGAGGTTATAAGTGACTGTTGTCTTTCCGTCGCCACATAGAGTCAATATGGCATGTATACTCTTTCAGCAATCCAGCAAGGGTTCATTCATAGAGAACATATTTTCCACAGTATTGCTATTAAAGTAACTTGTTTTAAGTAATCTTTTTTTTTTTTTTTTTAATTTTATTTTAGGTTCAAGGGTACATTTGCAGGTTTGTTATGTAGGTAAATTGCATGTCATGAGGGTTTGGTGTACAGATTATTTTGTCACCCAGGTATAAGTATGGTTCCCCATAGGTAGTTTTCCGATCCTCACCCTCCTCCCACCCTCCACCCTCAAGAAGATGCTGGTGTCTATTCTCTTCTTTGTGTTCATATGTACTCAATGTTTAGTTCCCAATGATAAATGAGAACATGCGCTATTTGGTTTTCTCTTCCTGTGTTTGTTTGCTTAGGATAATGGCTTCCAGTGGCATCCATGTTGCTGCACAGGACATGATCTCATTCTTTTTTATGGCTGTATAATATTCCATGGTGTATATGGAATATTTTCTTTATCTATTCTACATTCTACTGTTGAATGGCATTTAGGTTGGGATTTCCATGTCTTTGATATTGTGAATTACTTTCTGTGAGTGAACAATACGCATACATGTGGTCTTCGAGTCATTATGAGGTTAGAATGGAATTTTATATTCCTTTGGGTATATACCCCAATAATTAGGGAGGTTGCGTGGAGGTAAATGGGCTTAGTTTCTGTTTTACTCAGTTCTTTGAGAATTGCCAAACTGTTTATTCCCACAATATGGGCTGATAATTTATAATTGCCACCACCAATGCAGTAATGCTATCCAAAGGCATCCCTTTT